GCACATGTGATGTGACAATAAAAGTGATTTGATTTGATTTTGACTAGAGGCTATAAGAGCTTGAGTAACCCTCCACCAGCTAGAGATTGATGCTGTCTGCGTACAGTGTTCATCTCCCACACGTGTGTTTCATTAAAAATCATTGTTTGACTTAACCCGGCCAGACCAGTGTTGTTGTTTGTATTCCTCCTATAGCCCTCCTTAATATCTGAACCCTAACAGTACTCATGGCCATTGATCAGTGGTCTTTGATCAGTGGGTTTTGGTCGGTGATTGTTGATCAATGGTCAAAAGAATTTGCATAATTATAATTAAGGAACTGACCTCCCAGCCCATTGTTCCTTCAGTGGGCTGGTTTCAGTCATTATGCAAATGTCCTGTTTATAAGATTGAAACCTGCAGTCAGCTGAGACTGAAGACGTCACTTGGATGAGTGACAAAACGTTTCTCCCACAAAACGCTATGAACACATGAACAGATTCAACTTTTGGAGATCCAAAAGGCTAGATTCCCTAACATAAAGGCCACAGAAGTTTGCAGTAAAGTTAAAAATTTTTTACATTTTACATACATATTGTTCACAAACGCTCAAAGAAGCACCTCTAGGTGTATAGCTTATCCATAGAATCTGTCCATAACATAGTAGAACATGATGTTAAACACAGATATATCTACCAATCAAGAAGTTGAGAAGAGGTTTAATATCTTCAGTCCAAAGTGTTGTTGCATAAAGTTATTCATCAAATTAGTTAAAAGAATAGGAAATAAATAATTAGGCCCTTTAATTTGTCCTTCATGAGAGGACCATTCATTCTGAATTCTTGCCACGACTCAACCCAGTATCTTTCAAAGGGTTTGACGTGGTACTGAATAAAGTGGTAGCCATCCATGTTAATGATTGATTTTGGTGATGAAAGAAATTGGGATTTGAATCACCAAATTGACTTTTTGTTTAACCATATTTGGACTCACGTAGTCACATAGATTTGTTGAGGTGGGATAGTTGATGAGGTTCATGTATCCGTTCA